ATCATGTTGGGGGACTCGACGGTGGGCAAGTCCTCGCTGCTGCGGCGCTACACCGAGGGGGTCTTCCTGGACGCCGTCAACCAGACCGTAGGGGTGGATTTCTACGTCCAGTTTGTGGAGCTGGAGCCGGGGCTGCGGGTGAAGCTGCAGTTCTGGGACACGGCCGGGCAGGAGAGGTTCAGGTGGGTCCGGTGGTGGAGCTGGGGAGGGGTTCCCTTGGGTTTGGGGGTGCTGGTGAGGTGTTGTGATCCCAGCTGTTTCCCCACCGATCCCCTGTGTGAGGAACTGCAGTGCCCAGTGCTGGGATGAGCCAAAGCCAAGGACATTCCCCAGGGAAGAGCTCATGGGGTGGCCTTGTGAGCCCTGGGTCCAACTCCAAAAGGGGTACAGAATCCCCTCCAAGCACCCCTCTGCCCCACCAGCTGCTGGGGGAGAGGCTGGGAGCCCAGTGGCAGCTTTACCAGGAGCCTTCACACCTCACTGCTGGGGCTGCAGGGACAGGAGAGCCCAAGGGACGTGGCTCCAGGGAATGGGAGCACTTGGGGGCTGTGGGTGCCGGGGACAGCAATGGCCATGCAATGACAGAGCTGCCTGGACCACAAAACACACAATTTTCCTCACTTTTACAGTCTTTTGGGACTTATGTGCTGGTTGCAGGGGGCAGAGTGTGGCTGGGGCTGCTCTGCAGACACAGGAGACGCTGCCTGAGGCAGCACAGGGGACCCCTGGGGGCTGCTCACCCCTTTTCTGCTGGCACCCCAGGTCTGTGACTCGCTCCTACTACCGCAACTCGGCGGGGGGGATGCTGCTCTTCGACCTCACCAACCGCGCGTCCTTCGAGAGCGTCCGGCGGTGGCACCGGGAGGTGACGGACACCGTGCAGCCCTTCCGCATCGTCTTCCTGCTGGTGGGGCACAAGAGCGACCTGGCGGAGCAACGCCGGGTGGGCCGGAGGGAGGCGGAGAAGCTGGCGGCCTCGCTGGGGGCGCAGTACGTCGAGACCTCGGCCAAGGATGCCAGCAACGTGGTCCAGGCCTTCCAGATGTTGACCGTGGCCATCTACCAGGCGCTGCAAACGGGGCGGCGGGGCCCCTGCGAGGCGCAATGAAGAGCAGCGTCCCGCTGCCGCTCAACGCTCGGGCGCCGGAGAAGGAGGAGAAGAGGAAGAGATGCTCGTGTTAGAGACAGGGACACCGTGGGGAAGGGGTGAGGTAGGGAGCAAGCGGCCGGGGCACATTAAACACCCCCTGCTCACCTCTCTGCCTGCCCGCGTTTCACTGGGGAAGCGGCCAAGGATGCTGCCCAGGGGACGGGTGAAGCCCCCAGGAGGATGGGCAGCATCCTGAAGAGATGCAGGTGTCACCCCCTTCCCCTATCCAAGCCCCTTTCTACCAGGCTGTCCCCATCCGCTGCAGGATCCATAGGTTCTCCCAGCACCCCAGACCAGACCAGTGCTGATCTGAACCCACTTTTACTGCCTGACCCAGTGTACTCCAAGCTGGAGCCACCAGTGAATGACCCCACATCCTCCCCAGCAGCACCCGAGTAGGGCTGGGGTGCAGAGCAGCTTCCCCCTTCCCCAGCACCCATGGGACCCAAGAGCCTGCGTGCACTTATGAAGCTCCCTGGCTGCCGCAGGAGAGGAGGGGAGAGGCCGTACCGGTTCCCCAAATTATTTCAGTCAAGGCAGTTTCCCCTGTAGGTACCGGCAGCACAGGACAGGCCCCGCTCCCAGACATGCAGGAGCCTCCCTGCTCTTGATTTCTGGTCCTGTCACCTCATCCCACTCCTAAATATCAAAATAGCCAAGAAACAGGCAAACTCCTCACCCTGGGCTGGATGCGAGGAGGCAAAGGCGCCTGCCCAGCCAAATCCTTCCCCTCTCTTTAAACCCCAGGGCAGGGGCTCTCGTACCAGAACAGCACTGCAGGGGCTGCCCGCTTCGCTTGTGATCCCCTCCCCCTGCTGTTTGCAGAGCACCAGACAGTGCCACGGTTTGTAGATTAATAATTTCTTTATTCATGTAAAACAAACGCAAGTATTTATATAAACACTGACATTACAAAGTACTGGAGCGGGGCAGGGGCAGGGAGGAGGAAACAAAAACCTCTACAGATGCTTCTAATACTGTCCCACACATGATCAAACGCTCTGTCCCTTGGATAATCACTTAGACGATGAACCACTGTCAAGTCACAAATAAAAAAGTCTTTGTTTTGAGATACGTTGCGCTCTTAGGGGCGATGAGGAAGGGGGCGTAGAATGTTTTTTGGCAGATCTCCTCATAAAGTCAAGATATTGCTGCACTGTTAATAAAAAATATATGCTTCTCTGTAAAGCATTAAAAAAAATATCCCATGGATGGCATCGCGGAGGCTTCGGTGGAGAGGCAGATATCCCAAAATGCACTGGCGTCTTCTCCCGGCTCTTCCCAGGGGTTATTTCTTGGTGGTTTTGCGAATCAGTGCCATTCTCTGTAAGAAGAAAGAGAAAAACATGGGAAGCAGAGCGTCTTTACTGCAAAACAACTGCAGCCGTGCAGGAACGAGGTGTCTCAGGACACCGCCTGACTCGTCCCCACACAGGTCTTTCGAGTCTGAATCTTAATTCAAAAGCCGGAGCCAGAGGAAAAGCAAGCGTCTGTGCTCCTCTCCTCGACACCCAGGGCTGGGATGCGTGACAGCGACGCTAGCGAGGGGAAATGGGACTGAACAGCATGAGGTCAAACCCCACTTTGGGGCCTCCTCTGTCTCTGCTGCAGGAGCTTCAGGTGGGGAGATGCCAGACCCTCTACCAGCTCCAGCAGCTCTGGCAGGGCAGCTCTTCTTAAAAAGCACCACCCCAATTCCGTTAAAGCAAAACTAAGGGGAAAAAAAAACCCAGAGCTCCTCAGCTCCAATCTACAGCCGAAATCCCAGGACAGCGGTGCGCTCTGGTGTGCTTTTCCCAGGCCTTTGGGGTTTTTGCAGCCGTTTAATTTCTTACGGCAGCCCAGAGTCCCAACACAGACACAGCCAGCACCGCGTGCCCAGCGCTGCAGACAGAAAACGTCCCCAGGTCCTTGAGGCAGAGCCTGGGGTTCACCAGGAACACCCGGGCTTCTGGAGCGGTTTGAGCAGTTTAACCTCTTGGGCTTGGGCATGGATTGTGACCAATCTCCAGTGAACAAGGAGCTGGAGGTGCATTTTCTGTCCCCTCTGCACAGACCTGCAAAGGGGCAGCTGACACGACACCATCTGCAGGGTTTTTAACCCTTCCAAGGCTGGGCCGCCCTGCAGGCAGCAAGTGCTGCTGCTTCTCTTTGGGCACAGCCACAGCAACCTCAATCCTCTCTGCACAAATCAGTGAGGAGACTCTGGACGCTCTTTAAAGTCCAAACCACTTGGAAGAGGCTACAAATCCACATCATGTCAGGGCTCCAAAACCTCCCTCTCCATATCAGGCTTCCACCACGTGTTACTGAGTGCTCCTTACCTGTTTGTGAGCTTCTGTAGTGCAGGCTTTTTTGTAGGGCCTGATTTCTTCAGAACCAAAGCCCGGGATCCACATGTTCCACTGCCGCTCTGCAAGAGAGAGCGCGGGTCAGCACGATCCAACCCGACTGCCCACCACGAGAGCGGCCCCGTTATCACAAACACACGTGCAATGTGCCCGTCCGGAGCCAGAGCCGTGCTGGTGATCTGCTTATCAGGTAGAAAAGCTTCCCAAGAGTGAAGCAGGAGAGGGATGCACAGCATTAAATGCGCTAAAGACGCAGTCCCTGTGTTAGGGACCTCCCAATGCAGGCTGAGGGACAGCTCCAAACTGCACCGCTGCAATGTTTGGTGAGGGGCAGACACTTCATTCATCCCCTGATTAAGCAGAAATGAACCTGTAGTTACTCGTGGGTTTGTACCCCAACACCGTGGCCGTGCCCTGACTTTGGGCTGCGTGCACAGCTCTCGGCTGAGGGGAAAACTGGCTCACCGAGATGCAGCTGGACGTCTTTCACCTCCAGGGTGTTGGATTTGCGGTGCCGCGCAAGCTGGCAGGCGGCCGTCACCACGCTCTCTATGAAATCGTCGGCGATCTGCAACAGCATCTGGGGCAGAACAAGGACAACAAGCGCCCTCGTCAGCACCGAGCAGCTGAAACGACGCGGAAACTCAGTTCAAGAAGGACAGGAACTGCTGGAGAGAGTCCAGCGTAGGGCTACAAAGATGATCAAGGGAGTGGAGCATCTCCCTTCTGAGGAGCGGCTGAGGGAGCTGGGGCTCTTTAGTTTGCAGAAGAGGAGACTGAGGGGAGACCTCATTCATGTTTATAAATATTTAAAGGGTGAGTGTCACGAGGATGGAGCCAGGCTCTTCTCGGTGACAAACAATGATAGGACAAGGGGTAACGGACACAAACTGGAACACAGGAGGTTCCACTTCAATTGGAGAAGAAACTTCTTCTCAGTGAGGGTGACAGAGCCCTGGCCCAGGCTGCCCAGAGAGGTTGTGGAGTCTCCTTCTCTGCAGACATTCAAAACCCGCCTGGACGCCTTCCTGTGTAACCTCATCTGGTGTTCCTGCTCCGGCAGGGGGACTGGACTGGATGAGCTTTGGAGGTCCCTTCCAATCCCTAACGTTCTGTGATTCTGTGAAAATGAGCCGGCAGACGCCAGTATTGCAAAGGAATTTGCTACAATTGCTGTTTCAAACCCTTTCTTTTCACTGGGACACAGAAACGGACACGGATGGGTGAGAGCTGCAGCAAACATGAGAATATGGCAGTGCTACATGAACCAACCCTCCCTGCCCTGGGCAAGGGGCCACTGGTTCATGCAGAATCTCAGATAAGCCCTTTCTGCAGCCCCTGCCGCGGGTCGGTACCTACTTCCTCCACATCTTCATCCAGCTGCTCATTCGGATCCACCTCACGCACCAGGTCCTGCAATTTCTTCTTGGTTAAAACCTGAGCAGGTGGGAGAAGAGGAACCATTTACTGCCCCACTTGAGCAGAGCAGCTGCCCACACAGCACAGCCACAAAAAACCTCCTCCCCCTCTATCCCGAGGTCCAAGTCACACGTGTTGACACAGCCTATCAGTTCAGGAAGGGCAGAGATAAGAAATATCAAGTGTTGAGGAGCTATTTTCAAGCACCAGTGGTTGCTCTGAACAGACGGCGGAATGCAGGGGGGGGTGCAAAGGCAAAACTCAAAGCCTTAAGAGGCAGACAGCAAACACAAGCAATCTGCTGGTGACTAAATTCGTCCTCAGGGCACAAAGGAAGCATTTCCGTGGCTTTAGAGCTTACAGCACCTTTATTTCCTCCATCAAAACCACATTCCCCAATACACATTTTCCTGAGACTGAAAAAACCTCTACACCGACAGCATCCATGCCCCATCCAGCCTGAAAGTGCCTCGGAAGGAAGAAATACATTAAGTTTGCTCACTCAGTAACTGATACTTTAACAGACGCTAATTTAAGGAAGGAGAGGAATGAAGCCACAGGCAGGTCTGAGCATCTCCCTCGTTGTTCTGAAGTCAGGGATGAAATTACCTGGTTGCTTTCGGGACTGAGGCGTCCTCCTCCGCTCGGCGTCCCCGGCATCTTGGCCACGGTGGTGCTGTTGGCCATGGAGCTCTGCGGGGGGGTGCTGGCTGGCTCCGGCTTTATCGAGGAGAAGTTGGAGAGGTTGATCAAGGTCGAGGGGCCAAACTGGTTCATAATCTGTTGGGCTTTAGCCTTTAGATCATAAAGTTTCTCGAGGTCCTGCTTTTTCTTGGGGTTGTGGGGACCCAAACCAATCAACTGGAAAAGGAAAGGAGAGGCATGGTTAGGAAACGGAGGAGGGATTCAATGGGGTGGTTGTGATGTGTCCAGAGGAAGCCACAGTGTCCTGACGGGACCCAGGGGTTCACAGAAGATCGGGTCCCTTCAAACGCAGCAAGGGAGGAGCGGAGTTTAGAAAAAGAGAAAACATTCCCTGGTTCATGACGAATGAAGTTCGCCATGAGAAGCACAGCGGCTGCACGCAGGGGTTAGGAAATGGAGGAGGGATTCAATGGGGTGGTTGTGATTTGTCCAGAGCAAGCTACGGTGTCCTGACAGGGATCAGTCTAGGGGATCATAGAAGATCGGGTCCCTTCAAACGCAGCAAGGGAGGAGCGGAGTTTAGAAAAAGAGAAAACATTCCCTGGTTCATGACGAAT